CTGTGCACTGGAAAGCCGCAAATTTTTGTGCCTATATGTTTCAGGCTTCCACAGACAAGTCTTTAAACAAAATAAAAATTTTCGGAACAATCAAAGAGAATAAAAGAAAAAAGAAGAATATAAATTGCCTCCTAGTTGCGGAATCCAATTACATTTCACAAAATACACAGTTTAGCCTCGTAATGTTAACACTGAAATAATTAGAGGACTGAAGTTATATTGAATTAATTTTCCAATGAATGAATGTAAATACCATAAAAATTGTCATGTAAGCAATTTCCATTGTAAAAACTTCAAAAACGCTTTGAAAATGGCCTATAATTGACTTTGGGACTAAATGTAGGCCTTCAAATGGCGGTCTTCTATATGATCATCAATTATGCTAGTCTTGCTAGTTTTTCCTATTTAAAAATATATTTTACAGTTTTGCGAGCAGAAAATCTGATTAATATTTTAATTCAAAGAACGTTCACTTCTTTTGGATTTTAATTTTCATTTTCGGACCGATTATAGGACCAACAAGAGTATGAATTTTTGGTCGAATTATGATATCTAATTGGAGCATTTATGTTATAACTTTTCGAAAGGGGTAGTATAAGGAAATTGTTAGTCACACATTTTCATAGTATAGGAAAATACAGTCAAACTGTTTTATAAAATGGAGAAAATGCTACTAATAAAGTGTCATAGTACGGAGAAAATGCTAGTCATTCAGTTTCATATTATAGCAAAATGCTAGCCATCAAACTTTCATGCAAATTGCTAGACATATGACCCGCTGATTTCCGTAGTATATCATTTTATGTATCGTAGTTTTTGTCAAACCGGGTTTTAAACATTTGGTTTTTGGATTTTGGAAAATATTGCAATTTCTTAAGTAGTTTTCAACAGTAAGTTCTTGATTTCGCGTGGCTTGGTTTAGTTATCATTTTAACTAGCGAGTTCAACATGTCTTTTTTTAATAACGAATTCGAACTATCATTTTAAACTAGCCAATTTGAACGTTTATTTTCAACTGGCGAATTTGAATTGTCGGTAGCGACTTCAGTTACTTACCAATTATCAAACAAATTAAAAATACCCTATATAAAAAATATTTTCGTCTCAATTTTTCTGGTCTATTTGCACATCATTAAAACGCCTGTGAGGGAATGAGTTTGAAGGAATTTTTCTTCAAAAAATTTCAAATTTTTTATTCCAGCTTAGATACACGAGGTTAAAGTATCACTAATTTGCGTATGGATGAAAATCTTAAGGACATACAAAGAAGTTTATTTTTTGATATTACTGAGCAAGAACTGCTGCCATTTTAAGCTTGATTCATTACTAGCTTCCTGTTTTCACTTTTTTTTCATAATAAAAAATTTGTTTTGAAGTGTTAAACAAAAAAATCATTTTTGCCAACTAAATGCTTTTTAAATCAGATCATGTTATTTGATCAGGCAGTTTTACACTTAACACTGAAACAAAACTAATCTCAATCTAACCTTCACACCAGGTATTCTCTAGATCTACTGAGAGTAAAGAATTAAGAATGGGACTAAGATTTACTTATTTAGCACAATTTTTGTTTGATGATTAGACGGTGTAATATCATAGCAAACCATATCTGTTAGATATGGTTTGGTCAGCCTAACCGCTCTCAAAAAACAATTAGCCTAGTTTAAAAACTTAGAGTTCAAACTTCCGCATCTCAATACATCTCAGCCAAAAAAGCAAGAAAAAGCAATGAAAAGTTTTATGAATGATCAAAGATTTTCTTATTAAAACAGAGAACAAAAACTTTAAACGATACTTTTCTGATAAAGTGTTATATACTTCTAACTAATTCACTCAAAATTTTACATATTTAATTTTTAAACCCTTTATTATTCTATAGATAAATGGAAACCTAAATCAAACATAAACTTTCATTTGAACTCAAAATATTCCTCAAAAAGTGTCTATCGACGCATGTATATCGATAAGAGTGCCAAGTTGATCAGTTGGGTTAAGCCATAACTGAACAAGAGTTAAACGCGACATTATCAAAAAAAATCTAATCAAAAGTTAGCTATCAATAGAAATATACTCAAAAGAGGGTCGATAAGACCTAAAAGTCGAAATTGTTGAAGTTAATATTTTGTTAATTTTTTTCTGCCTGGGTCAGTTTTTTGAAAAGTGCTTCTCTGAGTCAATTGAATAGTTTTAATCATAAGTTTTGTAATTATTACCATCTAGGAATTACAATATTATTGAGCATGCTATGGGTTTTTTTGGCTGATATGTAGAATTCGTTTCTGGTGGTTATGGTTATGGCTAGGTTATGGATACAAAAGTCTTTTTATTGAAAGTGGTTAAAAGGAGGGAAGAAAGGTTTTTTGAAATTAATAAAAATTTACCTGTAGAACGGTCCATGAAGTTAGTTAACTGTTTTTGATCTCCGCTTAATGAGACACCTGAAAACGGGTTGCGCTGGCTCAATAGTGTTCTCCCATACGAATCCAATTTGTGTTGGTAAATTTTTATAAAA